ATTCAAGTCAAATATTATTAGAGTAATGGCTTTTTCTATTTCTTTCAGTTTCGCTTTTGTCTGGGTCGTTGTGGCTGTCGCTGTTTCTGTTCCTTGTTCAATTAATCATAGAAAGTGCAATTTAGCTATTCCTTTTGGCCGTAACAATAGAAAGTTCACTGAATGCACATTTTGAATGGACAATAACCAAAAAGGATCTAGGATTAACTGCCTATGCTAGATAAAATATTGATTATAGTTGTTGCCTGTGATATGTATAATGATGTACACCAAAGCGGCGGGGACCCATGAAAATATATCCATTGACGATGTGCAAACTGTGAACATTAAACTAAAACAAAAACCCAGTAAAGGCAACCACAAGCGGTCACACCGAGAGCAGGTTTTGTGGTTTGGTTAGAGTAAACTTAAACGTAAATGTAAACGTTTGCTTACCCCAGCACCTTTGTGTGTGCTCTAAGCCCATGTCCGGCTTAGGGAGATATTTGGACTTGGTAGAGCCAGAGGCAGAGCCAGTTTTACAGTTTTACTTTATGTGCCGGCAATGGTGGGTCTCCGAGTGGACATGGACAGGGGCGGGCAGGTTTAGTGCCGTACCCTAATGAGCTATACAAATTTTTATCCTCTTGGATAGCAATATAATCAATTTTCGAGCTCAATCTTTCTTCCAGGATTTACATACACGTATACGAGTGAGGCCCCATAAAATTCGCCGAGTCTTTAACACAGCCCTTTTCTCCACCCAGTGGGATATCCAGGCCACCACATCGAACCCTTACGGCTGCGTTTACGTCCGCCATAAAGTGCTGTACATTCGCGCGCAGCAACTACGGAAATAGTAAACGCACGGAATGAAAAATTTAATGTTTCCACAACCCGTGCAGTCAATTGTGCCCTTTTGCTTCGACACCCTGCCACAGAGCTGCGCTCCCCCTGGCCGTACCCCACCAAAAGACTTCCGCTTGATTTACAGCTACATTTGTAAGTAGACACAAAACACTTAACAGCTAAAAAGGACTTTGCATAAGTAATGAGCGGAGGCGAACGTCTCCTCTAGCGCACACTCGTCTGCATATGGCTGAGAGCTGAAGATCCCACGCGAAGGCCGACTACCGGAAGGAGAAACCGAAACTAAAGCTAGAACCAGAGCTAAAACTAAAGCGTTGTCAGCGGTGCTCAGCAGCGCGAGAGATCCCCTGACTTTTCACACATAGCTGCACACACACGCCCTAAGCTGGGGACTCGGGGCTCGTGGCTCGGGGCCAGCCCTGGGATAGTGCAGAGAGTTGTACGAGAAGAGACCTCTCCGTGACAACTTGATTGATGGGTGGGTGTCAAACAGCTGCTCCTGCACTGGTCCCGCCCTATCCTTCCTCGCCCACTCTTAGCTCTGGCTGACCGCAAAAACAAAACAACAAAACAACAAAACAACAAAAAAACACACACATTTCACTCTGATTGCCAAAAGGGTTCTTCGGCCACGCCCCAGTTCACCTACGTCATACTCGATAACGGTGCTTTAAACATAAAAACAGGGCCGACTTCATTACGGTCTCCTCTATTTGTGGATTGGGATACAAGGCATACGTAGGGGGAACTCTGCCTTCTTTCGGGAGCTGACCAAAAATTAATTGGCTGCTCTGAGCCAGAGGACAGCTGCCATTTTGTGCCTGCCATTTGCTATGCGTAGACATGTCAATTCCCCGTGCCGCCATTTCCCCTGCTGCTCTCGATCTCCCTCTGCTTCTGTGCTTCTCTGCTTCCAGGTAGCTTAAAGATTTATGATAAAGCCAACTAGTGGAAGGAGACAGCATGCCCGCCGAAATGGGCACGAAATGGGGACGAAACGGGGCGAGGGGATAACTTTATCCAACTTTGGCTTTAACTTTGGCATCGGCTCATTGCGGCTCGTTTATCTATGAAATGAATGAATCTGATTGCCAACGAGCCGAGCGAAATGACAAACGAGGCCTTCCGAGGTTTCTTTTCGACTAAATTTCGCCGTATTACAATATGCTGGGAATGGGAATGGAATTCCTTGAGGAGCAAACCAATCTGAGTGTTAAAATAGAAAACAAACAAAACAATTCCACTATTTTGTGTTGATTGAAGTGAGGGGGGGTCGGGGGGATATTTGAAAGAGAATTGCCAGATGCTATTTCAAGGGAAACACTTTGCAGTAGCCAACGGAAACAATCGCCTTGCCGAACACTGCCCAAGTTGGTCGTGCCTCTGCCACTTCCACTGCCCCACTGTACCGTTGTGCGTGTCGCAGCTTATACTCTAGCTTAAGCGCTTAAAATGCTTTTTGACAACAGCAACAGCAACAAAAATGGGAGTGGCCGTGGCAGGGGCAGAGCACCAGCAGCCTCAGCCACAGTAGAATGATAAATTTGCTATTCGTCCCCCCCATTTGCTATGTGGGAAGGGGAGGCTCATATTTTCGGGCGAGCCACGAGCTGTCTGGCATCCCTCCCCCTCGGCCATCTTGAGTACAGTTCCGCACTTCCGCTCTAAAATATCTGTGTGAAATTTCAGTGCCTACTTTATTTTTCCCTTTTCGTTGTTCTCTTGTACGTAAATCGCAGCTCCGCCAATTTGCGCTCAATTAATTTTGATATTTCTTTCGCTGGCTTTTGGGGGCTCTTCCTTTTTTTTATTATTTGCGGCTCTCCTCTTATTTATCATTTGCCGCGCTGGGTATAATTTATTAAGTTGCAAACATTTGTGCGAGCTTTTCGCCTCCTATCAAATATTCTCAGCCATTCGCGGGACGAGTACGAGTACAATATTCTGCGCTGTAATTTAATTTGCTGCCTTTTCCTCTTTTGTGGGCGCACGCCGCACAGTTTGATGGATATGTATTAATTGCGTTTACAGATATTAATTAACTGGCATTTTATGCAGATTTTTAAATGAAATTAATTATGCAATAATTATGTTGCAATTATGCTGTAATTTCTTTATCACAATTTACGCGTTTTCAGCGCATCTGCCATCAGGAAAAAAGCAGTCGCTCCGAGAGAGCTCTGCCTATTAATCGAATTTGCCATATGGTCAGGCATGGGCATGTGGCAGCCAGTTCATTGGGTCGATTCAAATGGCAAAGGTGTCGTTAGCTGGAGCCAAGAACCATCTGGATAAGATCCGTGAAAATTGAGGGGAGTGTTGGTAGGGAAGCTCTCAAAATTTATTTTAATTTTGCCTACGGACTTTGCGCTTTTTGAAGTGAATGAAAGGAATTCTGTGACGATGCGCTTTTTTTAGTCAGTGACTTATCGTCTTTCACATTTCCATTATCAATTTATGCAGTACGAGTATTCATCCATATCCAGCAACTTCAGCCAGATTTCCCATCCTGATTGACAGACTTTTGCAGTTTCTTTTGCAGTTTCCCTGTGAGTTCTTAATCCTTGGGATCTAATGCCTCCTGCTCGTATGAGCGACAGTCTCTCCCGGCCTGTCCTGGCCCTGCAGTCTCGCTCAAAACTCTTGACAACATTTAAATCCCGCTTCCGTTTTTCGACTTTTGCTTTTAGGTTGCAAACGTTGGGCTGGGCCTGGCCGTGTGCCTGCTGACTGCTGCCTGCAATATTTTTCACACTTGATATAACAGGCAGCCATTTGCTTGCAGTGAAGTGGAGAAGTCCTTCCCCATCTGCATTGCTCACCGTGCCAGTCCCAGGCCCACTCCCATGCTAAGGATGCGCTCCAGGTGTCTGCGTATGGGTATGTGAGTGTGTTATGTGTCTGTTTGTGTTTGTAATGGCTCCCAAGGCGCACAAACAAAACTGTCATCATCGGTGCTGAAAATTTAGCAGCAGAAGCAGAGAGAAATCTGCTGGAATCTGGATCCCTGGCGGAGAGCCGAGTCAAAGAGAAATACGCTCGCGCTCGTTTTCCGTTCCTAATGCAATTTTTATGCTGCACTTGCTTCATGGCTTGCCAAAGCAAAAAACGCTTCCGTTCGGCAACGTCTTGTCATTGTTTCTGGTCCTGTGTCTGGCAGCCTCTCACCAAATCCGGACGACAAAGGCAGCGCGCTTATTAAATTGTCTGACTGCACTGAGCCCCCTGCACCCACTACACCATGCTTCCATGCGGACTCTCGTATAGTTTCTCCGATCAAAATACCTTTGTCATAATGCAATCGACAGCTCCTGCCGCCTGCAGAAGCCCAGCAGCCACAGCAGCTTCATTAAATGCGTCCCGTGCTCGGGGGACCGACAACGGTTTATTCTCGCTCTGATTCTCAGCTAGCGGCGTCTATCTGGCTTTTCCTTTTCGCTGGACTGCACTTCAGGGACTCCTGTTTGATTAAATTTATCAGTTGATCACATGCGGGCGTTGATCAGTGAAGAATAATAATCAAACTCCTATTTATTATATCCCTTAAACAGAAAATGGAGAATCAGATCACAGTCGCTCGTACACACAGTAGAGGACAAAATATTAGTGACACTGTCACATCCATAGGTGTAAATGCATCTACGTGAATATAATAGATATATAATCGTATGAATACTTTTTTTTTAAATTCTCAATATTGTCAAATGTGGTTCCCGAACATAACTAAAAGTTCTAAAAAATCGACATGCTTTATAATTCATGAAAATATATATACCAAATTACCTAGTTAAGAAGAGTCAGACTGACACAGATCCTTATCAATATAAAATCGACAGAATTCTGATTTCAGATTCTATCTACCCGGAATATATTAAATTGTATAAAGTGCTATTTTTATCTATGTGTTTAAGTACTGCATATATGTACATATGTATGTATGTACATAGATTGTAATTAATCCAAATTGTTATCAACTTTTGCTTCTTCGAGGAAAAACCAAATTGATTGGGCTAAGCTGAAAAGAAACCTATCAAAAGTTTACTTTCTAAACTAAGATTAGCACCCAACTCTGCCCTGGCTTAAATTTTATTTATGAGAATTCGCTGGAATTCGCTTCCCACATCACTAATGATGAGCATCAAGGCACTCACCTTTCACCAGGGTAAGAATGCCCAGCGGCATCACCAGCATAGCGACCATCAGATCCGTGATGGCCAACGACATTAAAAAGTAGTTTGTCACATTCTGCAGACGCCGCTCCCAGGCGATGGCCAGGCAAACAAGGATGTTGCCGGCCGCTGTGCCCAGGACCAGCACGAGGGCGAGCAGGGCCCAGTAGTTGTTGGCGTCGAACGGGGAATCAATGGGATTTGGCCCTCCGGTGGCATTGGTCGCATTCCACTGCTGCTGACTCTGATTGGGCCGCTTGCTGAGGTTCCCGAACGGGCCCTCGTCCTCCCAGAGCAGCAGGTTCTGCAGCTGCTCCGCAGTAGTTTCCGCACTGCTCCAGCCATCGTCGCCGCCGCCACCGCTGTCGTTGTAGGATCCCAGAGAGGCATACACATCCTCCTCCATGTTCTCAGCCCAGCCCAACGCGGGTTATTAGTCCTTTTGTGTACTCTACTCTGATTGCGGGTCTAGCTGCTGCCGTTGTTGTCGGTGGCAATGCCGCATGCTAATTAGCCCACGCATATGCAACCAGAATGGGGAAAAAAACGTTCGCGCGCCAATTCGAATTGCAAATGTAAAATGGCGGAAACGACAGCCCCGGAAATGAGCACGGGGTGCGGGGCCAACGGCAAATAGGTGGAAGAACAGGAGTCGTCTGTGCTTCTCTGCTTCTGGCTGGCTTAGGGCCCAACGACAACGAATACGTTTACAGCAGCAACGACAACCAAACGGATATTGGTCGCAAACATTTTATGCCACGAAATTGCCGGAAGTTTGTGCTGTACGGGAGAAACAGAGAGAATGAGAAAATTAAAGAAAACTATTTCAATTGGCAATTTTCACAGAGAGTGAAAACGGAATGGAAAATATTTTATATTAAAGTTTTCCATTTTCTGAACGCTGACATTCTTCGGTTTTCGCAAATCGTAAAAAGTTACGAATGCTCCGGTTTTCGCAAATCGTAAGAGTCTTACAATTTTAAGCCGGTGGCTAATAAGCTGGCGATTTCAAAAATGAATTCAACTTAAATCACACCTCAAACCAGAACAACAACAAATGGCCATTTCCAGTTGATTCCAGTCTGTTCCTCCTCCTTAACTTTTCGTGTTGTCTTGGTATTATATAATAATAATTTTGGTAAATAAAATTTAAATTTTAAAAAGAAAAACAGATTTGTTTTAAGATAAAGTTTTTTAAAACAATTTGGAAATAAAAAACACTTTTGATATAAAAAAGTTACAAAATAGAGAGCGCACAAATTTCATTTCGTACGAATTAACCCAGAATCGTAATCTCAAATTTACGAAAACAGTAGCACGGCTGAATGTTATCGCTTTTGTTAGCCCACCCCAGCGTATCTTTAACACCGCCAGAGTGTTTTGTGTAGCAGGAGAGAACAACACACATATATATGTACATATATTCATAAATACATACATACATACATATGCATAATAATTAATTGACGGCCATAAATTATCCACTCGGTTTTGCCCGACTCACAGTTTTGCCATTCAGACGAATGGACGACATAATTGCATTTGATTTGCAGAACCCAATCCTAAGGCGGGGGGACTGGGGAGCCCTGGGGAAGCAGACTTTGAATAATCGGAATCGATATTGATAAGCAGCAATAACAAGAATCAAATCAATTCTCCCTATGCGATGTCACAAACATTGATAATTAATTGAGACATATTTCACGCCGGGAATCGGAACTTGGGGCTCAGAAGCACAAGCACAAGCATAATGGTTGGGCCAGACTCAGACCGAGAGCCAATGCCAATGCCAGAGCCTGTAACCCGAAACCAGCAACCAGACCACAAAAGTCAGGAAACCGCAGGGAAAGCCACACAAGCATCGGTTGAATATTATACCCCGAAACAGAACTAAATGAAATTCATTTCCAAAACAAAGGAAACACAATTCATCAGCCGCAAAAGCATAACTGAAGGTGGGGACCGGTTGACTGGTTGGGCTATTTTCGAAGCCGATAGGGTCAGCCAGGCAGTAGAAATAGAAGCAGTTCCAGGAGCAGTACAACCCACAACAACAATAACCTCAGAAACAATGGCAAAACAACATTCACTTGTACAGTGTAGAGCAAATCGAGCAACTTTTGGCAAAGGACCTCAACTTGACAACACCTTGTTGACTTTCCGAGTGGTAGCCCTGCCCTGCCATTCCTCCTGCCCTGCCATTCCTCCTGCCCCACTCCGCCTGCACAGCTGTCTGCACGTTCTGTCAAATGTTCGAGTGTCAATGTTGCTGTTAATTAATTTTCCCGACTGACTGACTGACTGACTGATGCATGCCACCAGATAAGAGGAGCGGAGTCCTACTTCGGGCTGACCCTTGCCCAAGTCCAGGCGGTGGCTTGATAAACTGTTTGTTTGCTTGTCCGAGCCGTTGTCGTAGGTGTTGTTGGCCCCTCTGTTACTGCAGCCGGCTAATGACAGCCAAACGACCACTTCAGTAGTACTCCTAAGTCCCTGCCAGCCATGCCCGCTCTCCCTCCTGCTCCCGCTCCTTAGAAGGTCGAATGCGTGTCGAGGGTGTCTGTGCGGGTGAAGTGTTTAAATTTCCAACTGCCACAATTATATTTATATACAGTCGAAGAACGTGTTGCGTTGCTTGGGCTATGCGGATGTTGAATGTGTCCTGTGCCTTGCGAAATGTGTAGAATTATTGGGCTCACCAAAATGAATTGAATAACATTTGAATCCCATCCAAAAAGAATCAAATGTTCCACTGCTAGACCTACTGTCCTGACTCATTTCTTTCTCATTTTACATGGCTTGCATATATGTTAACTAATTTAACTAGTTCTTTGGCACTAGCAAGTGTAACGAAAGCTTTCCGCTTAGCCTTCTCATTAGCTTATTTTTTGGCTTCACTTGGAAACTTCCGGGTTCCAAGGCCAGAGCCCATTTATTAGGGTACCAAGCGTTCGGATAATTGCTGCAATGCTCTGCCTGGGACAGAAATAGCATGTCAGCACAATGCGAGCCCAGCGAAGTCAAGCGCAGAGCCAGCCCATAATTATTATTTTGTGCCTCCTCGTGCAGACCATTTGGACATGAATTGCACAAAAGCCGTATTCCTATTCCGGGGAGGGTGGTGCTCGAGCTGTGGCTAGCTACCGGGTATCGAATAAAAACCAGCGCGCCATTAGTCATATTTAATCCCGGCGGAGTCATTAAGTCGTAAAACTGCGAAAGGTAGCAAAGTGAGAGGCAGCGACAGCCCATCCGGCAGCGGCAGTCCCGAAGCCTGGCAAGGCGGGGCAAGACGGCTTCTGTTTGTCTTCCAACATCATTTATTGATACGCGTGTACGTAAGCTGACTATGTAGGTCAATTTCGGCTGTTTGCCGCCCCGTCAAAGTCAATAAATAAATAAAGGACACAAATTTAAGGTGTCCGGTCGTATACTTAATTTGCCAAATGTACGTCAGGCTTGCAAACAACAAAAAATGAAAGAAAATAAAAGAAAGGAAATGAAATGGAATGGAAAGAAAAGAGCAAAAAGGCCACACAGATTTAATATTTCTGAGGACTCTTGTTAGTCCGTAGCTAAAGCTGAAGGGTGCTCGACACATCCTATGCAAACAAAAGTCGGAAAATATGAAAACAATTTTCATTGCAGAATCCCATATGGGGATATGACCTTATAGCATTATTTCTATAAACATTTGGACATCTCTGCTATTATTAATTTATTATTATTAAGAGATGTTCCTACCTCAGAGCATAGCATTCTGAGCTACACAACTCAAGCAAGGGAATCTGTATCCATGCGTTCGTATAAAGAAACCGTTTTCTGAGTCAGTCAGTATGTATCTCGACCGTCTTTTATCATTTCCATTAACTATTAACACAGCCAATTCTGCCATCTGCCATAGTCAATCAGAGATTTCCCCGAGTTTAGCTCTCGTTACTTGTGCTGGCATTCAGCTCAGTGTGGCTGCAAATCAAGTTTAAATCCCCAATCTGATCAACTCAATTCCACTTCACTCCCGTCGCATGCCATTTCCACTGCCCTAGGGGATAAGTGCAACTAATCGCATGCTCATTGCTCATCCGCCGCCTATCCTTCGGCACATTGCTTATCTGCAGCGTAATCTGGCAGTTCCACAGAGCCCATCGTACCGCACACATCGCATCACGCATACGTCACGTAAGCCAGCTCTCCATCTCCCCCTGAATGAGAACGGATACCTGGATGGATGCCTGTAGGGCAAAACACAATCCGAGCTACAGCAAACGCTGCTCAAATATTTGCTTTAAAATATCTTTCACATGTCAGCGACAAGCGGCCACTGGGAATATGGTGGAATGAGAAAACTTGGCAGAGCTGGAAAGGAAAGGAAATGTAAGGAAGGGAAGAGAAGGGAAAGGAAACAGCTGAGGCAGGTGCGGTCGCTTGGTATTTTTATTTGCCCTGGCAGCCAAGGCACGCAATTTGATTTAATTTTTGTTGGTATTATTTATTTATACTTTCTTTTTGCAGCGATCAAAGCAAAGCGACCCAAAACATTTTCAGGCCATTGAGGTTGAATTTTAACCTCAGCCCGGAAATGGTGAGCAGGACAATGACATTTGCTGTCTTTAGCATGCCAATTCCCTGTGCTTTCATACCTTAATAAATATTTAATAAAGGTCGCCAGCTATGTAATGAAATAACGTATGCAGCTTGTTCAGATGCGACATACGAGTAGTGGCTCAAAATTTATTGAGAACTATTACAGTTGTCTTCCAAGTACATTGTGCTCTTCGCTACGCCACCCACCACTACCCAGCCCAGAGCTGAGATCGTCCCAAATTTCCGGGAAATGTTTGTCCCCTATGACTCGGTCCTATTTGTCTGGCAGAGGCAAAAAAAAAGCATGCATGCATGTTGTCTACTTTTGGGTGCTGATGTAATGCGTAATATTCTGTTAACTAGACTTTTCCGGTTTTCCGAAAACAATTCCACTCCGTCAAGTCAGCCAGCCAGCCGCACCCACCGCGAGCAGACCTCCACCTCCGCAAGAGGCAGCCAACGATTAATCACAGTTACAGTTCTATGTAGTAGTAGCGTTTTGCGTACAGTTTTGCGTACAGTTTTGCTGGACAAAAAGGGAACGCGGAACTTGAAAAATATTTGCATGCAGTCACGATTCGGGTATTGTAACTTTGTGGTGACTTATGGAACGGCCTGCAAGGATTAGAGTACGGAAGAATAGCACGATTGGGTAAAGTTTAAGCTCAAAGTACGACGTGCACTGTCATCTTAGCATTGGCCAAACATTAATTAATTATGACTTGGATTCTAATATATTTAATGGTAATCGGATTCAGCTTAGCCTCATTATGCATTCCTTCTAATGATAATCATATCACTCCGAACGTTTGGATACCCTGCAACTATCCAGGGCTCCTCCCTATTCTCTAGGCTTGTAGAGCATGCCAGCTGCTGCTTGCCCGAATGGTAGCGGTATCTCTCCTCTGCTATTTTCATTCAGAGTAGGTTATTTGCGGCGCTTCATTAATCACACAAACCTACGAATGGGCCATCCACTCCCCTGCTCTCCTCTGTGCCCTGCCTGCCACTTCCTGAGCTGGGCCACATCCCGTCCCGACTAGTTGTCATAGCAAGTTGACACTTAAAATGTTAGCTAAATTTACACATGCACTCAGCGCAGAGTCAACACGGAAAACAGCGCAGAAGGGGCTCCAGACAATGCTCTCGAAGCTCCTCAAGGATTCCCTTCCCCCAGTCATCGGCCGATGGGTTGAGGCGTGACTGATGGAGGCGGCAGCTCTAACACTTATCGTTCATTATTATCTATCGCCACAGCCACAGCCATCGCAATCACCCCACCCACTTGCTCACATGGTCACACACACTTAATTGATTTCTTTACTGTTTCCTCTTTCTGCTTCCGCTCAGCCCGTGACGACAAAAAATCTGTAGGACAAAAACTGTGCCAGGACAAGGCTGCGGCTGCTTCAACCACGTATGTATATACAATGTACATATCTCCATGTTGCTCGAATAGTTTACACCACAGAGCACAGACCAATCTCTAGTCGGTCCCGACACTGGCACGACCCTTGAGCTCAGCGCGGCTTAGAGTGTGGGCTATAAATTAAATTCGTATGCGTAGGGGCAGGCAATTAAGACAGA